GTAGTCGTAGTCGTAGTCGTAGTCGTAGTCGTAGTCGTAGTCGTAGTCGTAGTCGTAGTCGTAGTCGTAGTCGTAATCGTAGGTTAGTCGACTCTGTCGTCGTAGTCGTAGTAATAGTAGTAGCAGTAGTAGTAGTAGTAGTAGTAGTAGTAGTAGTAGTAGTCGTCGTCGTCGTCGTCGTCGTCGTCGTCGTCGTCGTCGTCGTCGTCGTCGTCGTCGTCGTAGTCGAATAGTAGTAGTCGTCGTCGTCGTCGTCGTCGTCGTCGTCGTCGTCGTCGTCATCGTCGTCGTCGTAGTAGTAGTAATAGCAGTCGTAGCAGAAGAAGTAGGAGGAGGAAGAGGAGGAGGAGAAGGAGGAGGACCAGTGCAAACCCAAGAGTCACCATCGATGTTGGAACAAGAGACACGCGTACCAAGGATCATACAATCACGGATGTGTGGCATTGGGAGATGAAGGTGGCGCCAATTTGTGGTAGTTTTGGGGAAGCCCGCGAGTGCTGCGACACGCTGAGCTATGGCGTGAAGAACTTGCTATGCCACTGTGATTTAATGGCGTCTCTATAACTCTTCGGGGCCATGGTGCTATTGGGCATCTCTCGAGCTTATTGGGGGTCTTGTGTGGGCCCGTCAGGGGCTCTTTTGGGCTGTCTCGGGGTAATATTGAGCTGGTCTGGTGCCTTTTTGGCCCATCGTGGGGGCTCGGGGGGGGGGGCAGGGGCACGGCCGGAAAGGGGGGGCATGGTCGGTCGGTCGGTCGGGATAAGCAGGCGGGGGGGCCACGAGGCAGAAAGGGCGGGACAGGGGGGTTGTCGAGGAAAGGGGAAGGGGGGAGCACGGTCGGTCGGCGGGGGCCACGGGGCGGAGGGGGGAGGCACGGTCGGTCGGTCGGTTGGAAGAAGCAGACGGGGGCCACGGGGCAGAGGGGTGGGCACGCTCGGTCGGTGGGTCGGTCGGAATGAGCAGACGGGGGCCGCGGGACGGAGGGGCGCGGGAGGAGCAGGGGGGGCGGGAGGGCACGGTCGGGCATGGGGCGGGCGCGGTCGCTCGGTCGGTCGAAATTAGCAAACGGGGGCCCCGGGGCGGAGAAGGGGGGGGGCACGGTCGGTCGGCCGAACGGACTGAGAAGACGGGGGCCGCGTGGCGGATGGGGGGGGGGGCACGGTCGGTCGGTCGGTCGGAATTAGCAGATCGTGGGCCACGGGGCGGAGGGGTGCGCGGGGTGAGCAGTGGGACGGGGTGCCCCCGGTCGGGCAGGGGGGGGGGGCACGGTCGGTCGGTCGGTCGGAATAAGCAGACGGACGACACGGGGCGGAGGGGGGGGGCACGGTCGGTCGGTCGGTCGGACTACGCAGATGGGGGCCACGGAGCAGAGGGGGGGGCACCGTCGGTCAGTCGGTCGAGCGTAGGGCGTAGGAATGCACATCGAACAAGCAGTGCAGCGCGACGTAATTCAATGCAGCGCAATCCAAAGCAAAACAACGCAAGGCAGCACGAAGCAACGCAACGCAATGCACAACAAGACAGAGTTGTGCTACGCAATGCAACCCAGTCCAAGGCACTGCAGTGTAACGCGCAGAATACCACAGCAACGAATGCAACGTAATGCAACACATCGAGGCCCCAGTGCTCCCCTGGGAGCCACCGACAACATGGAGGGCCGGGGGGAGGGATGGGGGGAGAGGCGAGGGCGGAGGGGGATAGGGGGAATAGGGCAAGGGTCAAGGGTGAGAGAGCGAGTGAATGTGGGCGGGAAGGCAGACTCAGGGAGAGGGGGGGGGGAGGGCGGGAGGAAGAGCGCGGAAGGCAGAGGAAGGGAAGGCCGAGGAGGGGGCAGGGCAGAGGACAAGGGATGGGAGGGCAGGCGGAGAAGGGGGAAGACCAGGGCCAGGGGTGCGGATGCCAGGGAGCCGGGCGCGGTCTCACTGGGGGAAGGTCTCCGCGTTCTTCACGATGAACAACAGGTCCCTGCTTGGGGCCGAGGTCTCCACGAGGCGCCCCCCCCCCCCCCCCCCCCAAACATCATTGCCGCTCTCTCCGCTATCGCCCCTCTCCACCTGCTGCTCTCCCTTCTCGGCCCCTTCTCTTCCCTCTCCGTGTGCCCGCTCACCGCTCCCTTCTCGCCCGTGCCCCCCCTCTCTCCACTGTCATTCTCCTCCCCACCGCTTGCCCCTCTCATGCCCCTTTCGCCCATTCTTCTCCCCCTTTCATTTGGGTGTTGCTGGAAGTGCCCCTGGCCCGAGGTGAGGTGCCCCCGGGGTTTCCAATGAGACCCCTCACGAGGCCCAGAGGGCCCCAGGGGCTCCAAGACTGAGCGAAAAGGTGGGCACCTCGGGCCAGGGGCACCTTTGGCAACGCCCGACCCATCTCCCTCCCATCCTCCCCTGTCCCTTCCCCTTATCGCGCCCCTCTTTCACACCCCTCTGCAGTTTGCAGGCTCTTGGCTGTTCCTGTGGCTCCCGCTTGCCAGCATGCTGCACGCTGCATGCTGCTTGTTGCTTGACTCTCCGAAGGGGCTCCTGCCACGCTGCTGCGCTGCTCCGTCCCCGTTCGGCCGCTCGCACGGCCTCGGTTCCGCAGCATGCTCTGATCGTGCCAGCTCTCTGCCCATATACACATCTGCTCAGCGGTCGGTGGAGCTGCATGCGGCGTTGCCTGAACTCGTGGTCCTCTTGCGACTCCTCACCTCCGACCCCGCCCCCGACGTGGCCTGCACCGCCGGCAGGCCGATCAAGGGTACGGAGGAGGAGGATGAGGAGGAGGAGGAGGAGGAGGAGGAGGAGGAGAAGGAGGAGGAGGAGGAGGCGGAGGACTCTCCCCCTCCCCCCCTCCCTTCTCCCCCTGCTCCCCCCCCTTCCCCCCCCACTCTCCTCCCCTCCTCTCCCCCCCTGCTCCTCCCTCCCTGCCCTTCTCCCCTCGTCCGCCCCCATCCCCTCTTCTGCTCTCCTGCTCCCATCGCCAGGTTGAGGCGGACAGCCGCGCGGGGCAACACGGTGGTGTGGAGCTCCAGGAACGGCCTGCCGCCCTTCGGCGTGACCAGGGGCACCCAAGCCTGGGAGGCCCGAGGGGCGGCGAAACCCTCCTCCCCGATCGAGGGCCCAGATCCCCTCGCGTCGTGTCAAGAGTCCATGGTGGAAGGTTTTTTGGGCAATTTTCGGCCCCGCAGGGCCATCATCGTGCCCCCGGACTGTGACCAAGCGGCCCGGGATGAAGAGTCGGCCCCGGGGACGTGGTCCAGACATTTGGGGGTCCACGTTGTGAAAAAGTCACGATGTCGGAGGTCAGAGGATCGAGGTCCGTGGGCGTTTCTGCCCCTTTTTGGGCGTCCAGGGATTTCTGATGACCTCATCCGACTTCCAGGGAGCTCCCCCCGCTTCCTGCTGCTGCTACTTCTGTTGCTGCTGCTCCTCGTTCCTCCTTTTCCGTTTCCCTCCTTGTTGAATCGCTTCGCTCATTCCGCCGGCCCATTTTGTATCAGTGTTGCTATATGTTGGCGTGCTCGTGGTGAGCGAGGAGAAGCAGGAGGAGGAGGAGGAGGAGGAGGAGGAGGAGGAAAAGGAGGAGGAGGAGGAGGAGGAAGGGGGAGGAGGAGGGAGGAGGAGGCTGAGGAGGAGGAGGAGGAGGAGCAGGGGAGGAGGAGGAGGAGGAGGAGGAGGGGAGGCGGAGGAGGAGGAGGAGGAGGAGGAGGCCTCTCGATGGCTTCTTGAGGCATTTTTGGGGTCTCTTGGAAGGGCTCTTGGGGGCATCTTGGCGGTATTTCTGTGACCTCCTGGGGCGTCACGGGGACCTCTTGGGGGTCTCTTGGGGCGTGGGAGCCTCTTGGGGGCCGTACGTCTTAGTTCCTACTCCTGCTGCTCCTTCCTCCTCTCTCCTGCGGTCCTGTGCCTTCGCCCCTTCCCGTTTCCACCCGTTCCTTCTCCTCGCGCCGCGTGTCAGCGGCTGGGCTTCGTGGAGCCCCTTGGGCGCCTCTTCGGGAGCTCTTCGGGGCCTTTGGGGATCTCCTGGGAGAGTCTAGCTCGAACTGTCCAGAGCTCTCGGGAGCTTCTTGGGAGCTCTTGGGGGCCTCTTGGGAGGCTTTCCGAGGCGGTCCTGGAGGGCTCTTGGGCCTTTCGGGAAGGTCTTGCGGCCTTCTTGGGCTGCTTTGAGGCCCTCTTGGAAGCTTCTTGGGCTGTCTTGGATCGATATTGGAGGCTTGGCTCGAAATATCCGTTCGAGTTCCCCGTCTGGGCTCCCTCTTGGTGCAGTCCCTGGGGCCATCTTGGGCTGTCTTGGAGGCCTGTTGGGCCGTCTTGGGGCCATCATGAGCCGTCTTGGGACCTTGTTGAAGCCCTCGGGCCGTCTGGGGGCGATGTTGCGGGCCTCTTGGGCTGTCCTGGAGCGTCGGGAAGTCGAACAGGTGAGAACGCCCAAATCCTTCAAAATCCAAAGGGCAATCAATGATTCTCGTGTCATGGGCCCTCTGGAGACGCTTCTTGGAGGCGTATGTAGGCGTCTTCGAGGCGTCTGCGGCCGCGTGGAGGCGATCTTGGTCGTCTTGGACCGATCGGTCGGCGACTTGGAGCCCTCTTGGACCATCTTGGGGTCCTCCTGAGGCCCTCTTGGAGCGCTGTCAGGGCGCGGAAATCGCCCCTGGGAGTTCCGGCATCCTTGGGCAGACCTTGTCGGGACCTTGCCGGGAGTCTGCCGGAACCTTGCCGGGGTACTTGGTCCGGGGAACCCCGGGGGCCGCCCCGCGCGCGCGAACTAGAAATATTGTGGACCAGTTACCGGAGATCTTAGCACGCCGCTGGCCCGTTGGGCCGGCGAATTATCCTGCTGCTTCTCCTCTTCGTCCTCCTCGTCCTCCCGCCCTCTCTCTCTCTCCCTCTTCCTCCAGCTCCCTCTCCCTCCTCCTCATCCCTTCTTCCTCTTCCTTCTTCTCCTCATCCCTCCTTATCTGTTTTTCCGGTTTATCTGGAAGCTGCCATCCCTTCCCGTGGCCCCACCGTCCGGGTGTGACCCTGAGCCTCAGGAAGATCATTGGGAGGATTCTCCAGCACAGCGAACCAACGAGACCAGCCTTGAGGCAGCGACCGTGAGGTGGTTACAGTCGTCAACAGGCGAATTACTGTGAAATTCCAGAAGGATCCAGCATTAGCTACTGGATGGGGGAAGCCGTACTCTACGCTTCTATTACCGGCGTCCTCGAAATCTCAAGGATTCCCTTCTACCTCATTCCAAGGGCGTCTTCGGAGTCATCTTGAGATGACCCAATTGAGGATGTTGCTTGCACTCAGGCGGCGAGGGCTTGACAGGAATGTGTTCTTCTCAGCGTGCCGAACACGACGGTATTACCCGAACCCTCGCGAGGGGCCCCTTCCAGCTGAATAGCTCCGATGGGGAGAACGAGCTTTCGTGCTCCCCGTCGCCACGATTGAACACGTCGAAATGTTGGCTGAGAAGTTTGAGCAGATGGCCCTTGAACAGGAGCGTCTTAACTCGAAACTCAGACGCCAGTCCTGGTGTGAATGGGTAGCAGAGGAGTCTACCAAAGGCTCCACAGCAGCAGACAGGCTCATCAGGGGCCGTGATCATTGGAAGCCCTGTGAAGTTGATGAAGCATCACCGGAACGTCCCGATGCACCTCCTGGATCTCCGATGCACTGTGTATGTGGTCGTGAGGAGTTATGGCATGCGCTCCAATTGCGGAAGGCTTGAGGTCGAGTGCATTTTCTAACGCGGGCGTCAGTGCGGTTTGTGGCAATACATGGCCCGCGCATCACTGGCATATCTGCGGCACCAACACATGAAGTGCGTAAGTATTACTACGTTGCTACAACTTCGAAGCAGCATCGATACATGACCATGGACATGGCGCTCGACACGCTTGTACACCCTGCAGTTCCTGGGCACACATACGTTATTTGTTTCCGGTGTGCATGCCGCTGGAACCGTGTTTTGCCAGTTGGATGAAGCCATGTGTTGGGCTTGCCGTAGCGTCCTCTGCATAACCCAGTGGCACGACCTGTATGGTTAGGGTCTGTCTCTGCTGTCGTCGCTACGTTGATTCGCCTTAGATGGTCTCTCCAATCCCCGAAGCAGTAGAAATCCTTGGCAGGCTGCGCGATCGATATATCCAGGATTGTTTCCAGAGATGTCGAGACCATTATGGCAAGAGACGTACGGGCATGGCGTCAATCTGTACCTTAGCACCCTTTGATGAACTGTCCAGGGCTTCATTTCTGAACCTCATTCGGGCTGTCCTGAAAGGGGAAATTTCTAGCTGGACCTCTGCTCAGCCTCATGCTTTGAAGACACTGTTGGCCGGAGGTCTACATTTACGTCTTTGTTGTTCGCTTTGTCATTGTATATCTCACGATCTTTGGGAAGCTATCCATCACCTGATTTGGGATTGTCCCTGCACGTGCCCATTCCGAAGGGACTTTGGCATTCCAGATCAAATTCTACGGGTAAACAATACCCGCCCACATGACCCCGTCTGGTACACTACCCTCGTCCCCGACCTGGATCGTCTCCTTCTCCCTTCCTCTGTTGACCTGGAGTTGGAGTGGGCGAAGGTGGGGGGCACAGGGCCAGGTGTTTGCGTCCCTGCTTCTGGAGACGGTTCAGGACTACATGGGCCCTCACCCCGAATCATCAGGTGCGGGTCTCCTGTGGATTCACTAAATCGGTGGGGATACCCGACTACTATTGCACATGGAGTTTATCTGAATCACGTTCAGTGCGTTCTTGGCGCCGAGACTCTGGTTTTGCTGGTTTGCCTAGGCATAGCGCCCCTGGAGATTGTCAAGGCTATCAGTATTATTTCTGACTGCCAGTGGGTGGTAGATACCGGGTCCCTCCCTCCGAGTGCTTCGTGCGCTGGTATGTGTGTACATGCCGACCTCCAGAGAGTTATTCACAAGAAACCCCAGGACATAGTGTATACCTACATCCACATACAGAAGGTAAAAGCCCATCCATCATATGCTGACGAGGAACAGGCAGTCTGGTGTGCTCGTGCGAATGTTGTGGCAGATATGTACCCTAAGCGTGGAGTAGCACTTCATGCTGTTGATGATGATGCCCCCTCGCGCATCAAGCGCAGTTCAATAGCTGCAAATACACGTGCTAAGTTCATTGCCTATGTAGTGTCTAACGCCTTGAAGTTATGCGAGAAGTGCCCCCCCCCTGCTCCCTCCTCCCGTGGGGCCCCCTGCTCGTGGGCTGGTGGTTGGGGCCCCTCCTCGGGTGATTGGCCAGCATGTGGCCTGGGTTCACGATAACTTCGAGGTTTGGGTGTACAGTTGGGCTTCCAGCAACGGATTTTTCCTCACAGGCTGAATATCAAGCACCTGAGTGTTATGGCCACGCGCTCAGAGCATGTGCGCAACACGTGTGCGAACTTGCGGACACTTACTATAGTGCGAACGACGTCCACCAGCTGCAGGACGTATGCCCCAAACGCGCACATGCTGATATAGGCAGTCGTAGACTTGCACGTCTGATGAATGGCCAGGACCCCCGTGCAGATCAAGATTTTGGGCGTGCTACCATCCCGTGGCCTCGCGAGGAACGCCGCGCTCGGCCGTGGAGAGCTCCCACGCGTGCAGGAGCTTCCCCCTGCCAACTGGATGGGTCAGGAACTGGGGATTCAGCCCCCACCTGCCCAGGATACCGCGGCTACTGCTACTGGTGTTCATGTTTGGGCTCGCTATCCTGACGGACTCCCGCTCCCTGCTGCTGGGTCTCTCCCTGATGACGATGGAATGCGACTCCCCTCTTCTCTGCCTGGTGCTGGCGGTGCTGGGCGGCCTCTTGTCTCGACGTTGCCGGGGAACGCGACGGAGGTGGGGGCCTTCCCCGCGACCTCACAATGCCACGCTGCGCTCGGCCATGGATAGCTCCCACATGTGCAAATGCCCCCACATGCCAACGGGCTGGGCGAGGAGCTGGGGAATTGGCCCCCACCTGGCCAAGCCATAGCGGCCACTGCGACTTGCGTTCAGAGCGTCGCCCGTTACCCTGGCCCCCACGACCACATCGATGACAGCGAGGACATCGACTACGAAGTGGACAGCGTCGCCGCAACGGCTGATTCTGGTGAACCTGGCGCGCGGGACGGCTGTTGCGTTGCGACCCCGCAGTTCAGCGCAGAGATAGGTCAATGCGATACCCAGGGCGGGAGCGACCTCGACCAGAGCGGCCAATCTGTCTTCCCTGGCTACGACGGCATAGCCCTATTCCATGATGACCTACAGCACGGCGAAGGCGAGGCAGCGTTCTACGACAATGGCGGCGTTGACGGCCTTGCGGGGGCCCTGGTGCTGGCGGCGGTGCCGCAGGCGCCTGTGGCACCCATCGCTCTGGCGCCCATCGTCCTGAGCGATGCGGACGGAGATCTACGAGGCCATGGTCGCTCACCCTGCCTTCGTGGCCCAGACTGGCAGCGACGCCGCGCCCCACTCTTCCGAATTCGTCCAATGGCTTCTCGAGAACCCGTACGGCGTCTTGGACCGCTTGCCCGTGAAGGAGGCCAACGCTGACCAGGCGGACAGGGACTATGACGAAGATTTCTGCCCTTTGTTGTCGAGGTGGAGGGCAACTTTGTGGTGGGCCCGCAGCTTGCTGCAGCGCAGTTCGACGACACCGTGGACGACAACCGCGTCGACCTCAACGACCTGCTGGCGCCCCCCGCGAAGCGCTGACAGTCGGGGCCCGCCGCGCCGGCGGCGCCTAGTGTGGCTGGGAGAACCCGCGCAGTGGGGTCGTTCGCTCCTCCTCCTCCTCCTCCTCCTCCTCCTCCTCCTCCTCCCTTGCCCTCTCCTCCACTGGATGAGCCCACCACGCCTACCTGGGCGCGGGACGAGTGGGGGCTCGAGGGAGGGTGCTGCAGACAGGGGCGGGGGCGGAGTGGAAGCGAAACGGACGGTCACAGGGAGCTCTGTGGAACTCTTTGTTCAAGGACGCTCGTCCCGCTTCTCTGCTGCTATCGCACAGGTGCTAGCCGCAGCGCTGCACTGCTGCGTCCCACACGCGCCACCAACACGCCACAACCTCACCCCTCGCCCTCGGAACCCGATGCGGCAAACGCACCGCGCCAGGCTGAAGAGCGAGGGCCACTGCGGCCTCTGAGGCCCGATGCGGCAAACGCCGTGCACCAGGCAGGAGTGCGAGGGGCGGACGCGCACAGCGCCGTCAATCAGAAGAGTCGGACTGCCCATCCCGGGCCACCCGAGGCCTGAGCTGCAGAGATTCCCTTCTGGCCGCGGAGAGCAACCTCTGGACCCTAGCCTGCGTGCGGAGCTTCTTGGCAGCACTACGCAGTTGGTCTCGCTCATGCCTGTCGTAGCGGGTCCAGGTGACTCCGGGGGGAGCGACAAAAGGCTCGGTAGGGAGCCCTCCTCTCCTTGGGCTCCAGCTCCCACGTGCCCCCCCGACCACACCCTCCAGACAACGCCGATCCCTAGAGGCCATGGCCATCGTGATGGCTCTGGGGGGGGCCCTCCCGTCGAGGAGACATGCCACGGTCCATTCTGCTTCGACTATCGGCCTCGTTTGGGGTCATTCCTGCACAGCGCCTGCGAAGGGCACGGGGGTCCACCGCAGCGCACATACCGCACAGGGAGCACACTTGCAGAAACCATCTCTTTGTGTAAGTCAGAGAGTGGGTGGGGTGGACCTTCTGCTCCAGCCTTGACACAGGGAAAGGCTCAGTGCCCCCACGGACTCGCATCCTGGGGGGCCCGCACACTCTGAAGACGCAAAGAGAGAGAACTTCGTGCTTGGAACAATGCACTCGCACTGACAACACCTCCACTTGCTGCCTACCTGCTCACCTGCTCGAGATGGGGTGAGGAGGTGACTGCTTGCTGCTGCTTAGACAATTTCTTGCACACAGGCGCACGCGACGCCCACACTCCCGTCTTTGGCGAGGCCGACAGGGCTAGGGCTCTGCGCGCGAGCCTGCGCACCATGTGCGCAATCGCGTCAATCCGATCAGAGTCAGGCTCTTCTCACCAGCCCAAATACCCACGCCAGCGCTGCCCCCCTCCTGCCCACGTGTCAGCAGCAAGGTTCCCTATGGCAGCGAACCTCCGGTGCTCCGCTGCGAGCAGCTAGGGGCTCTCGTCCAGGTGGGACGGAGTCGAGACAACCCCTATGCTCACATGGGCGGCAGTGCCAGGCGGCTCTGGCTCTGGACCACAGGTCCTCATTGGAACTGGTGGCGTTGGGAGTGGCCAGGCGGTGACTCCAGGTTCTCGTGACCGTGCGATGGTCAGTGACAAACATGAAGGATCCCGGGCACTCCTCGAGTGCCGGGGTAAAAGCCGAAACTTCAGAGCGGGGGACATTTTGCTTGGCGCCCAGCAGCGGCCTGGCTAAGCCAAAAACCAGGGTCCCCTCACCGTCCCACTGAACCGCTACAATGCCGGCACCACATCGGCGGCGTCTGGGGTCTGACGAGAATCGACCTCCTGAGCCTCCTTCTCGTCCAACTCCTCATCATGAACGCGAGGGTGTGTGAGAGAGGCTGGGGGCTGGCGGCGTAGCCACAGCGCTGGCTCGGACTCAGCCTGCGCCATGGCGGCCGACAGGAGCGTGTCAGTCTTCACGAAGTCGTGCCTTGTGTTCTGCGGGCAAGTCCAGATGCGGTGCATGATCGTCTCCTCGTGATGCCCGTAACTATCTGTCGCACAGCATGCTGTCCAACTGGTATCCTTGTTCCGCTGCTCTGGCCTTCGGCCACTGGCCGCCCGTGACCACTGTTGGGTTGAGGCCGACCTTGTCGAGCCTGCCTTCCTTCTCGAATCTCCGATGCCCCGCACGTCTCTGCCACACATCGCTACCAGCTTGCAGGCCCTTGCCAAAGCTGTGCTGCGACGCACCTGCCCACAGGTGGCCTCTGATGTCCGTCTCGCTGTCCGCGAGCAGCAGCTGATAGGACCCAGTGGGGTCGAAGTCGGCGTCGAGCGACGGCGGGATGTCCCACCGCTCGTAGGGCTCCTCGTCTGCCAAGGGTCGCGCCCATGTCGTGGTCGAGGGCACGTGCCAGCCGATGTCCATGAGTGTCGCCATGACAACGTCCACTGGGCCCCGTACTCCACGCCGTCGTTGCGCCCCTAATTAGCCCGCCGAGTCTGGCTTGCGGCCAAGCTCTGGCGACTCTGGCTTGAATTTTTGGGTAGCGCTGCCACACGTTGATCCACTCCTCTGCAACTGCAACTCGTGCCGCAATGGCTGGGCCACGTCGCCACAACTCCACCGCTAGCGTGGTGGTCAGGCATCCTCCTCTCGCCTTGCCGCCAGCCGCTGGACCAGCCCCACGTCGCAGTCGTGAAAGTTCGGGGGCGGTCACAGGGAGAGCGGGAAAGCGGGAGGGAGGGAAGGAGTGAGGGAGGGGAGGGGCGAGGGAGGGTGGCAGGGCAGGAGGGACGAAGGGAGGAGGGAAGGCAGGGCAGGACGTGGCGAGGGAGGAAGGGAGGAGCAGTCTTTCGCTCCCCCCGCCGAGGTGGGCCTCCGCCCCCGTGCAAGGAGGGCCGTGCTGAGCGACCCGGACAGGCTAGAGGCGCCTCCGCGGGAGTGCGCGAAAGCCCCTCCTCCCTGGCACCGAGGGGCTCGGAGGAGGAGGGCGAGGGTCTCGTCGGGAGCCTCGAGATCGGGGGCGCGCGGCCGCCCCCTCGCGAGCATGCGCGCGTGACCTTGACCTTGACTGGTTCGCGCCCCCGTGCCTCCCGCATCCGGGCAGGCCCGGGCGGAGGGCGCATCGCTCCGGAGCGTCCCCGAACGCTCTCAGCCTCTCAGCACGCTCTTCGAGCGCTCCGGAAGGGCCGCGGCGCCCGATGTGCGGGTCCTCCAGACCCGCCGGCTCTCAGGGAGTCCCGATGCACGTCCTCGTCCTGCCGTTTGTCCTCGTCCTGCTTTGGGCTCGTGCACGTCTATCAGCTCACCAAGACAGGCGTGCAGTGATCTCGCTGGACGTCTCATGCTTCTGCTGCGCCTTGCGCCCGCGCTAGGCCACCGTATTGATCGTCAGGTTCCGTTCTGGCGCACGCATTCTGGCCAATCTGGCGCATGAACCTACCATTCTGTCGTAGTCGCCCGCAGTGCTCGCACCCTAGCTCTGCACATCACTTCATGCACATGCACAGCAGGGATTGTATTGCCTCCCGCGCGCAAGTCAGAGTGAGGGGGCCCAACGGTTATTCACTGTCCCTGGGTGCGTGGCTGAAGTGGGATTCCGCGGTGCGGATTCTTGTTGTTGTTGTTTGTTGTTTGTTGCTTGTTGTTGTTTTGCTGTCGTCGTCCCACCCGCAACCCGCCCTGCGACCCACCCGCGACCCACCCCGCGACCCACCCCGCGACCCACCCCGCGACCCACCCGCGATCCCCCCGCGACCCACCCCGCGACCCGCCCCGCGACCCGCCCCGCGGCCCACCCCGCGACCCGCCCGGCGGCCCACCCCGCGACCCGCCCGCGGCCCACCCCGCGACCCACCCGCGACCCACCCCGCGACCCACCCCGCGACCCACCCCGCGGCCCGCCCGCGGGCCACTCCGCGACCCGCCCGCGGCCCACCCCGCGACCCACCCGCGACTCACCCGCGACCCACCCCGCGACCCGCCCGCGGCCCACTTTCGACCCAAATTACGTTCAAGGTACAAACCACCATTTGCGCCTGCGGCGGGCTTTTTTTGCATTTCTTCCAGGTGGAGAGCCCTCGACCCACCCCGCGACCAACCCGCGACCCAAACCACGTTCAAGGTACAAACCACATTTTTCGGCGCCTGCGGCGGGCATCTGTTGCATTCGTTCCCGGTGGAGAGCCCGCGGCCCTCCCGCGACCACGTTCAGGGTACAAACCAATTTTTTCGGCGCCTGCGTCGGGCATCTTTTGCATTCGTTCCCGGTGGAAAACCCGCGCCCCACCCGCGACCCAAACCACGTTCAGTGTACAAACCAATTTTTTCGGCGCCTGCGGCGGGTTGCTTTTGCATTCCTTCCAGGTGGAGGTGGAGAGCCCGCGACCCACCCGCGACTCAAACCACGTTCACAGAACAAACCAATGCCGCACAAGCGCGGCGGCGGATTTGTGCATGCCGTCTGAGCCCGCAACGACCTCTTCAAGCCCCGCGCATCCTTACCAGCCCGTCCAGCAACTTTGCCCTGGCGAGTTGCCTTGATCAGAGAAGTCGGGGAGCACAAAGTGGAAAAAAGGATTGCGTTGCCGTTATCTTGGGAAAGGAGGGGGAGGCAGGAGGAGTAAACAGGGGAGGAGGAGGACGCGGAAGAAGAGAGGATGTAAGGAGAATGTGGAGAAAGATGAGGAGAAGGAGCAGGAAGACGAGGAGGGGGAGGAGGGGGACGAGGATGATGATGAACGACAATGGGAGGACGATGATGGAGGCCGATGAGGGGGAGGACGACAATGGGAGGACGATGATGGGAGGACGAGGGGGGGAGAGGGAGGACGAGGAAGAAGAGGAGGAGGAGGAGGAGGACGAGGTGGAGGAGGAGGATGACGATGACGATGAGGACGAGGACGAGGAGGAGGAGGAGGAGGAGGAGGAGGAGGAGGAGGAGGAGGAGGAGGAGGAGAGAGGAGGAGGAGGAGGAGGAGGAGGAGGAGGAGGAGGAGGAGGAGGAGAGCGCCATCGACAGGGAAGGTGGGGGCCACGAGGTCCGCCGGCTCGACGACGCCCGCGTCGCCCGCGCCCGCCCCCTCACTCTTATCCGCAATTGTGGGGTGCTACGTACATTTGGCTGGCATCGCTGCACCTTGTTCGGCCCTTCCCTACCACACTTGACCCATGCGCCTGTACCCGACGAGCGTTTTTTGTTGTTGCTGCTGCTCAGTCTACGTATCCTCTCCTCTCCTCCCCTCCCCTCCCCTCTCTCCTCCCCTCCCCTGTCCGTTGTCCCCCCTCTCGTCTCCTGAGGAGAGTTTCCTCCCTCCTCTCCTTCCTTCCCTTTCCCCCCTCCCCTCACCCTTCTGCCCTCCCCTCACCATCCTCCTGCTCCCTGCTTCTCGTGCTCCTGCTCCTGCTCCTGCTCCTGCTGCTGCTCCTCCTCTGCCTCGTGCAGGTCTGGGCCAGCGTGACGAAGTTCCGCTGCCTGAGCGGCTGCTCTGGCAGACGGCCGCTCGGCGACGCAGCCGTCCTGCCGCTCGGCGGGGACGCTGTCCTGAAGCGCGCCGCCGCCGACGACGACATCGACGACAACCACCATGACGACGACCACAAGCACGAGAACGACGACGACGATGACCTCGACGATGACATCGACGATGACAAGCACGAGCGCAACGATGATCACGACGACGACGACGACCACGACGACGATGACCACTACAATAATGACGACGACGACGACGACGACGACGACGACGACGACGACGACGACGACGACGACGACGACGACGACGACGACGACGACGACGACGACGACGACGACGACGGCGGCGACTCACAGGCCCAGCGGCGCCCTGTCGGGCCCGCCGCCCCCCCGCGGGTTGCAGCTCGGCGCGCCTTGGGCGCGCGGGCGCGGGGTGGTGCAGATGCGCAGGAGCAGGACTCGCATCGGCTCTCCTCCTCCTCCTCCTCCTCCTCCTCCTCCTCCTCCTCCTTCCCATCATCATCCTGAGGAGGGAAGGCCGCCCAACTCCGTGAGGCGCACCGTGGAAGAGGACGGGAGGTGGGAGGGAGCGGCCGGGCCGCTCAAAAGTTGTCGTAGTTCGTACCGAGGACGGCGTGCCTTGCGCGTAGTGTCGTACACGGCGTACCTTGTCCGTAGCGCTGTAGACGCCGTGCGTCCCAGGCGTTCGGCGACGCATGCTGGAGTACCAACGCTTTTCTACGCCATCTGGGAGAATAGCACATCCGACAAAGTTTCGTTCTGGAGCATGTCGAGGAAGAACTGGGTAGCCCCAGGCTGGCCCTCTGCGGAAGCGGCGTCGCACAGCCGCTCGAAAACGTAATCGTTTTGCAGCATGTCATGGTACTGGAAAGTTTGGGCCCGATCTTGGTATATATTGCAGGGCCTCTGCTTAGAGTATTTGCCGTAGATCTCCAGATTATCTGCCCTGACGCGAATCTGGGTTGTTCCACTTCGATATGCCCATCGCTCGACCTGTGCGTCACATGGGCCCAGGACCCCCTCTTGGCCGCTGAGGGCTGGCCTTGCTTTCAGCCCCACGAGACGTACGCGGGTATCCTCCCGTGGCTCAGCTTGTGGTTCCCGTAGCTCTGCCTGTGGTCCTCGTGGCTCAGCAGGGGGGCTTGACGTTCTTCTGGTGGCTCTCGCAGCTGTGACGGTGGTCCTCGTAGCTCAGCTCGCGGTCCCCGTAGCTCTTTTGGTGGCTCTCGTAGCCCTGCCTGTGGTCCTCGTGGCTCAGCTTGTGCTCCTCGGAGGTCCACTGGGGGCCCCGGTAGCTCAGCGGTAGCTCTTAGGATGGCTGTATTAGCTCCGTCTGTGGTCCTCGTAGCTGAGCTTGTGATCCTAGAAGGTCCGCTGGTGGCCCTAGAAGCTCTGGCGGTGTCTGTAGTAGATCTGCTTGTTGCCCTCGTAGCGCAGCTGGTGCCTCTGGTAGCTGGGGTGGTGGCCCTCGTAACGCAGAGCAGGCAGTCCTCGTGGCTCAGCTGGTAATTATTGTAGTCCTGCTGGCGGCTTTCGTGGCTCAGCTTGCGGTCCTCGTTGCTCAGCCTGTGGCTCTCGTGGCTCGGCAGGTGGCTCTCGCAGCGCGGCAAGCGCAGGTGGGTCCTGTAGGCGTTGTTGCTCTTCTAGTTCTCTGGCTGTGGCTCTCGTAGTTCAGCTTATGGTGCTCGTAGTACCGTTTGTACCTCTCGTGGTTCAGCTGGTGGTTCTCGTAGCCCTGCTTCTCGTAGCTCAGCTCGCGGTCGCTATACTTACAGGGGTGGTAGCTCGGCATTTGGGGCTTGAAGCTCTTCAGGTGGCTCTCGTAGCTGTGCGTGAGGTCCTCGTAGTTCAGCATGTGGTCCCCGAAGGTCGTCTGGTGGTCCTGGAAGCTCTGCTGGTGGCTGTAGTAGCTCAGAAGACACGCTCTCTTCGTAGTCCCCGAGACCCGAATCGGAGTCGTCAGCTGTCAAGTCGTACTGTTCCACGTTCTGGAAGAAGGAGTAGTCCTGGGGGTCGTAGGAGTACAGGTCTCTGTCGAAGAAGCTGCCGTAGTCGTACTCGTAGTAGGCGGTGCGGTCGTAGTCGTACTCGTCGTCGACGGCGCGGGCGTTGTCCACCAGTACCTCCACGACGACGACTTAGTCACCCCTTTGAGCTACACGGTCGTGTCGGTCTTGGTGGTGTATGGGTGTCGTAATGGTGGTGGTCGTCCTTGGGCTGCCTGTTACGCAGCCCGTTCTGGTACTTGGGCTGCCTGTTGCGCAGCTCGTGCTCGGACGCTCTCGCGAGGGCGGTCGTAGCAATGAAAACGATATCCTCGGGTCGAGGCTGTATCCCGTGCTGGACGTTGTACCCAACTCGTTCTTGGGCCGCGTCTGTTCGCGCCCATGGTCTCGGCATCTTTGCCAGTTCGTCTCCACAAAATGGGTAAGTCTCCTAACCTTGTAATGATTCAACAACTGGTGGTTGATGTTGTAGTCGTCGTGGCGGCGCCCCCTGACCGCGGCCGCGGTTGGGGGGCTGAGACCAGCCCGCCGGGCGCACGTGCGAGTGCGGGGGATGGATGCCGCATACAGCCTTCCTCCTCCTCGATCCTCCTCCTCCGCCTCCTCCTCCTCCGCCTCCTCCTCCTCCTCGTGGGCCGTAGCCATCGCGGCACAAACCCTTTTTGGCAGGGGGCGACCAGAGGCCCCCAGGAATGTCTCTGACTGCTCCGACACCACCCAAGGTGTCTGTCTCGGTCGGCCGCCATGCACATACGCTGCTGCGCATGGAAGCCCTTATCCATGAGACAGGCAGGCAGGTGGAATGATGTAGCTCGACAGTTCCGTAGCTGTGATGTCGTGGGCATTTCAGGCACTCAGGTCGTGGCGGACTCTCTGTACCCAAGATCGCCTTGGACGTATTCTTCGTTTCCAATGGGGTCGCAGCGGGGGGAGTTCAGGAAGGCCGACGGGATGCGCGTTGATAGTTTCGGACAAGTTGCTTTCTGCTGGACTTGCGGCGTCTAAAGCCCGGATAGCGGGGCAGTCCAAAGCGCGTGAAACGTTTTTAGGAGACGCTTGCGAGGACTTTTGAATGGATGTCTGGGGAGCTTGCAAGCTCGAGGAGAAGAGAGCTTCGTGGGAGACCAGGAAGAGCTTCGAAGGAACTGGGGAAAATCTTCCCGGGCACGTATTGGGAACCAGCAGGAAAACGTTGCCGAAACATGCTGCAAGTTCACAGGAACCGCTGCGGGGATGCCTGCCCCGCGGAGGAGAGAGCTCCAGGGCTACCCTGTGCTGCCGGCTTCTAATCTGAATCCTTCTTAGCTCTCAGAGAGCTGTCCGGGGACATGTGACATGTACGTAGAGCTTGGTCGTTTCACGGAGAACGTGCGGGGCGTCTGGGTGCAGTGAGGTTCAAACCGGATCACACGGATGTGACGGTGATTGTGGCACGCGCTCAGGTGGAGCCTGCAGGGGGTCGAGGGCGCGCTGCTGCTTAGAGCGTGTGCAAAAGATCTTGCCATGCTATGGGAGGTTTGGTGAGCGAGCTCCGTATCAGAACAGTTCCCATCATGCAATTGGATGCGAACGCAAGGGTTGGATCGATCAGCAGAGAAGCAACGGGGCAGTGTAATCCATGTAGAATCAGACAGGGAAACATCGACGGAGGCTTCTTCTGAAATGTGATAGAAGAGTACCGCTTTCGTGCGTTGAGCACGTTTCACGAATGCACACCGACGTAATACCATGGGGATGGGGTGCCCACGGCAACGGTTGATTATATCTTCTCGACGAGAGATGCGCGTGGACACGCAACTTCGCGCAGACTGTGGGGAAAGACTGGCGACGCGCTGCAATTGAACAGCGTTCGCACTAGGAAAGATGATTTTTAGTGGTTGCAGTACTAGACGTTGGTCCTTCCTTCCCGGACACGAGAACAAAGTGAGTTGGGATCATAACGAGATGAGCCGTGCCGCTCTGCTTGGGGAAAGCAGGCACGCATTTATGTAGTTAATCGGGCGCTAGGACAAGTTGCTTTCGAGGTTGGAATGGGCGTGTTCTGCCGCTCCTGGCGGAAAGCCGGGGGGGGAGGGCCCTGGGGGTTTCAAACCCGCCCCCCTCCCTCTTGAACACCGAGGGGGGCACTGGGGGTTCAAGCCCATCGCCCCCCCCAGTCCGTCATGAAAAGGGAAGGGCCAATACCTGTTCGAGCCCGCCCCCCCCCCCCCCTCCCCTTCCCCCCCCAACTCCCCCCCGGCAAACGGCTCCCCCTCCTATCCTCCCCCACCCACTCCGGATGGGGGACCTTGGTGGGGACAGTTGTGGTGACGGTGGTGGAGATGGTGGTGAGGGCAGTGAGGAGGTGGGACAGTGGGGACATTGGGGACAGTGGGACAGTGGGGAAACGATTCCCCCTCCTCTTCCACTCTGGATGTGCGGCTTTGGTGGAGACAGTGGTGGGGACGGTGGTGGGGATGGTGGCGGGGACGGTGGGGACAGTGCGGCAGTGAGGCGACTTTGGCGGGGACAGAGGCGGAAGCGGTGGTGGGGATGGTGGCGGGGACGGTGGGGACAGTGGGGCAGTGGGGACAGTGGGGACAGTGGGACAGTGCGGACAGTGGGGCAGTGTGGACAGTGGAACAGTGGGGACAGTGGGTCAGTGGTACAATGGACATTGGGGACAGTGGAGACAATAAGACAATGGGGACAGTGGGACAATGGGGACAGTGGGGTCAAGGGGACAGTGGTACAGTGGGGACAGTGGTAGGGACAGTGATGGGGACAGTGGTGGTGACAGTGGTGACAGTGGAACAGCGGCGGGGACAATGGGGACAGTGGGACACTGCTGGTGGCAGTGGGGACAGTGGGACGGTGGCGGGGACAGTGTGGACAGCGGGAAGAGTGGGACCGTGGTCGGGACAGTGGCGGGGACAGTGGGGACAGTGGGACAGTGATGGGGGCCGTGTGGGCAGTGGGGATCGTGAACACAATGGGACAGTGGGGACAGTGGGACAAAGGGGACAATGGGACAGTGAGGACAGTGGGAACAGTGGCGGGCACAATGGGGGCAATGGGACACTGGGGACAGGGACAGCATAGTGGGACATCGGTGGGGATAGTGGGGAGTGGGAGCAGTGGGGACAGTGGAGAAAGTGGGACCGTGGTGGGGGCAGTGGTGGGGACAGGGGGACAGTGGGACAGTAGTGGGGGCACTGGTGGGGACAATGGAGGCAGTGGTGGGGACAGTGGGAACAGTGGGGACAGTTGTGGGGACAGTGGGACAGTGGTGGGGACAGTGGGACAGTGGTGGGGGCGGTGGTGGTGGGGACTGGTGAGGCGGTGGTCGGGACGGTGGTGGGGACCGGGGAGTCGTTTGCCAGCGGCGAGAAGGGGGGAGGGGGGGGGTCGAACCGGTAGTGAACCCCCACGGCTTTCCGAGGGGGCGGGAGGGG